ATTTTATATATATAATTATATATATATATATATAATACTAGTAGGATTGCAGGCTTTGAAAATGTTTCTGAAGAACAGAGCTCCTCCTCTCTGCTGTTCATTAAAGCAGACTGGTTTTTTTAGGTTTATGAATGCTGGAGTCCCCAGGCGTGGTAGGCCGAAGGTCTCAAACCTCCCTGATCCCATTTTGCTTTGTGGTAGCAGGTTGTTTGTGGCCACTAAATATTACAGGAGGCATCTCACCTGGTGTCCACCCTTTACCTAGCTGGATAATGAAATGTTTGCAAGAAAAGAACCAAGCTCCAAGAACCCCAAGGACTCCACAGTTCAACCCAGAGCTACACATATTCGCCTCTATTGTCCACCCTTAATCCAAGTATAAGAAACAGCGCTGTTGCAACCTGTCTTACCATTCTGGCAATTAAGAGATCAAAACACAAAAGCTGAAATAATTTCTGTAGTGCCATCTCTTGGCTGTGTATAGTGATGACTAGAGGATTCAACCGTTTCCTCCCACGCCCTGTGAGCAATAAATCAATCTCACAACAGATAAACACCTTCAAACTTTCTTTTAAAACTTTAAATTAAATTTAAGTGTTAAAATTCAATGTGGAAGACGTTAATAATAGAGCAGCTTGCAAATCAATTAATTGGGAACTATAGGAACTTTACTTCCACACACTGAGAAGGTGCCAGGCTAGAGAGAGTTGAATCTGTGACTGGACGCTGTGGTGATGTAGACTAAGTTCTTCTCCATCTGATAATACACAAACCCTAATTGACACTACAATTTTCACCTTTGGGGGGGGGCCCACAGGATCCAAAGGATTATTTCTTCCCACGTATTCATATTTGTGCTCTGAGATTGTTAACAGAGGTCCTGCTTGAAGCACCCTCACGCACATAATAAAGTAGTGTCCCTTGTCCCATACCTCCAATTAGAGGATGTCCATCTGTTACCTATACTAATGTCATTTTAGGGCATTTATTCTAGAAGCTTTTTAAACAGCTATATATTCTTGCTGTTTAATCTTAAAGTGCTTCTATTTCTGTGAAAGTTATTAAATCCATTAGTGATTGTCGTCTGCTTCATATTAGCCCGTCTCTGCTCATTTGAAATATTTTTGTGCTAATTTCATGCGTGTGTGTTTTACTGGACTTTTGTTTGAGTTCATTTTTCTTTATATAAGTTGTCCCAGGTACAATCTATTGCATAGTGATTAATGAACTAACTAAATTATTTTCCTGCATCCGTTCAATTTATGTTTACCTCGATTTCTTAACCTGTCTTAGGGCAAGCTGGCAGCCCAAGGGAAATTGTTGCAACAGGATACGTTCTATGTCACAGAGCAGGACTCTGGAGGGTTGTCTCGGCCAAAGGAACGCAGAGTTTTCCTCTTTGAGCAAATAGTCATCTTTAGTGAACTACTTAGGAAAGGCTCTTTAACACCTGGGTACCTGTTTAAGCGGAGCATAAAGGTAAGAAATTGATAAGGCTACCAGCTTGCTTCTTTAAATAATTTCTGGCCCATTAGATCAAGGCCAGACAACTTTTTACAGCCCCAGGACAGGTCATGTGCCAGGGCAGGCCTTGAGGCGGGCGAGGGCTACATATAACTGCCTGCCCACCAACTGACTTCACCTTTCTGTGACCTTTTTGTTGTGAAAGGCAGCCAAAACAAAGCTTTTTAACCTGCTTCCCCAGGTGAAAGAGGGAACCTTCCTCCAGGAAAGAATGGAAATCATTTCCATATTTGCTCCTGTTGCAGTAAAACTGAGCATGTGACCATTCTTCCATGGGAGGAGAAAGGGAGTCATGAGGCTGCCTTTTCCCTTCCGGCAAGGGAGAGCTGAAGGCGGAGCCGTGCTCTCCACTGGTCAACAGGCTGCCTGGGACCAGGTTTGAAGCGTAGTGATGGGACACAAAAGAGACACACCAAATGAAGTAAAATTGGTTTCTCCTTTTTCACTTCAGAAAGTCAAACGAAGGGGATCATCAACACCTTTCTAGTTCTGTGCTTCTAGTGTACTGTTAATTTGTCTGAATAGCTTCAACTGAAGCTTAGCTAAGAAAAAGTTATAGTACATGTGGGCTCGTTTTGTCTTTGTGCCACATCACGTGTTCTTATATGTTTGCATAGGGGAAACCAAAATGGAAATGACTGTTTAGATATGAAAACAATAGAAGGTTGAACTCTTTGGTATATGTGTGACATGAGCTCTGCAGGAAAAGCCATTTTAGGGAAGGCTTTTGGGGGAGGAGGTCTACAGGGATTTTCCCTGGTGCTTTACTATCTGGATGACTTAATGCAGTGCGTGACTCCCTCCCCAGTCCAATTGCTTGATGCTATTACCTCTCTGTATTCTCTTTGACTGCTTTTATAAGCACAAGTGACTGCAGTTTCTTGTACTACTGAGCTATATCTATTAAATTTTTTTTCAGTGGGTGTAGCTTCAAAACTGAAAATCGGTTTTGAAATATTTTATCTACCTTTACCAATGTCCTGGGAGGTTTTTGCAAGCATTATGTCACACTTCAGGCCAAGCTCAGCTATAAATCTCTGTTCTTCCAGAAACTCAAACCCAAGTTTGTTTGTCCCACCCTTTCACGTTAATGGACTCTTGGCCATTCTTTTCCCAGCCTTGAGACTGGAATGCATCTGCTCCTTGTTTAAACAGTGATTATGTCCAGGTTTAAGCAGCACTGGTTCCTGCCTCACCAACTTCATATATTTGAAAAGCTCTGTTCTGCACACCTACATAGCTGGACAACTCTGAATAACCAAATAACTTAATTTTAAACTTCCCATCTTGACTATACTATCATTACAGGATGACTTTCAGCAATTGTGCTACTCAAGATTCATCATCCAGTAAACAGTGGTAGAACATACATGATTTTTCAGATTCTGCGCAGATTTCCCACAGTTACACATTGCATTAATATATGGCACTAGATCAGGATACAAACATGGTGAATGTGGGCCTTTACCATTTGAATCTGAAAACAGTGATCCCTCAAGGGAAAAAGAGGCTTTAGAATAGATGTACCATAATTTTCCATTACCACACTGTTGTTTCAGGTGATTTCTCAGCCCAGACAACAAGGCTACAAGAAAGCTATCTTATTCTTGCATGCAGCTAGAAAAATAAAACTTATGTGTAAATATATACAAAATCATACCTGAAAGTTTTAAAAAATGACTGAAAACTTTAGCCAGCAGATAAAATTCTCAAAATCACATAACTGAGCAAATGGGATTCTAGTTTTCTTCCTAGCGAAATTCATGGCTCTGTTGATGCTCATATGTACTGCAAGACAACTGAAAAGCTGTTTCAGAAGATATTCATGTAAACAGTGTGTTCTGTGCGAATTATATAGCGATTACATGTTATTGTCTTGCCTTTCTTTTTAAAGGAAGCTCACAAAGATAATTCAAAAGTTGAATATATTTGGCAGAGCACTTGAAGAAATTGCATCCATAATGTAGCTCCCAGATAAGAAATTATCTGGAGAGGCAAACCTGCTGCTCCTCTTATAGGCTGCAATTGAAGGGGTACCTTTGAGTTCACTGCTGTGTAGCCAATTTCAGCATGATCCTTTCCATGTCCCTCTGCAGTTATTAAGTTTTTCCTGGCTATTTGCAGATGACATACCTAATACTTGAGGAGAATGTGGACAACGATCCTTGTAAATTTGCTCTCATGAATCGGGAAACATCAGAAAGGTTCATTTTGCAGTCTGCCAATCCTGAAATCCAACAAGCTTGGGTACAGGATATCAATCAAGTACTTGACACACAGAGGGACTTCTTAAATGGTAGGTATTTTGTTACTGTGTTGAAATAAAGCCCAAGAACTTTGCAGTCGGCTGTAAAGTTTTGATTGAAACTTACTTCATTTCCAACCTGATATCAATCATAGAGCCCTCTTTCATATCTGTCATCCATACTGAGCTATTGGTGTCTTCATCTTTATATGGAACATGACTAGAAAAGAGCCAAATATATATTAAAGAACTATCCATGTTACAGATTAAAAACTAAATTGAAACCTAGCAGATTGTTGACTTTGTTGATATCTTAGTACTAGTGGAGTACATTTTATCTTAGATAGTACACTACTATCTCTAATAGATTGGCTGCATTCACATAGGAATATACTTATAGTGCAACTAAGTATAAACAGTTAACGAATTTATAACTTCTTGATAACTGCCAAACAGTGAAAGAATTTTTTAACACTTCACTGGGCATGGGGGAGGGGGGAGAATAAACAGTGTCATATGTAGGACAATGTTGTTTTTTTTTCGTCGTTAAGTCGTCTCCGACTCTGCGTGACCCCATAAACCATATTGCGCCAGGCCTTCCAGTCCTTCACTGCCTCCCTGAGTTTGCTCAGTTTCATGCTCAATGTAGGACAATATTATCATGGAAATGCTGCCATTATGTACTTGTATGTCAACATCTGCTGCAAGTACGTAAGTTGTGCCATTTGCATGATGATATCAATGTATATGTGGCGTCATTATGGCTTGCTGTGGGTGCTGCTTAACAATTCTGAATTTGATCAGAAGTCCAAGAAAAGCCAATGGAGAAATAGTGGTTATCCCTTTCTTTCAATATTACAGGTGACCATCTCTTCATTGGATGATTATCTGCATAGAGTTTTAAATAGCCACTTAGCTATAGAACAATGATTAATTCATTTTAACTTCAGCCAGGAGTATGTAGGGAAAATGACAGAACTTTTTCATTTCTCCTGATAGAGGTCTTCACCCTGCATCTCTGCCACATATCTCCTCATTCAGTACTAGCATGACTTTGATACGATTTCTTCCTCATTTGGAAGGGACCCCTTCTAAGTTTTATAAAATATTGGCTTAAAGTAGTGCAACATACTTTTCCTTGAGAAGTTTCACATAGGATTCTAAACTTCACATTCCATGCAGTGATACTATTGAGCAGACCTACACAACAAATTTAAAATGTATCACAATCATGTGATGCAGATTTCTATATATGTGTACAATAGTTAGTGAATGCACAATTGAAGTGGTTTTGGGGGGGTGTCTACTCCTTTGTCCTTTGGGGACAAACAGGATGTGATAGATAGGGAGGCCTGCTCTAACACATCATATTCTGTTGTAGCATTACAGTCTCCTATAGAGTATCAGCGCAAAGAAAGCAGCAGCTCAGCTGTAATGAGACCCCAGACCAGCCGGGCACCTCAGCCCATCACCAGACCCTATTCCTCAGGCCCTGTAGGATCTGATAAAACTTCGAAGGCTACACTGCGCAACCCATCTCTTCCACCTCTGAAGATATCTACCTCCAATGGTAACACAGGGCATGAACAGCACCAGCCTGGGGACAAATATGAACAGAGCAAGGTAATGTAACCACTTCCATTCTACATTTGGCTAGCTATTGAGTAGTTGAGGCACAGTAAACCATTGTTTCTTGAATAATCCATATTTGGCTAGGCTTGTATAATGCACCAATCCATATGACATGGTTTACAAATCACAGTAGTTGGCTTCACATAGCACGGTCTGCCAAAACCAAACTAAATAAGCTTGTTACATGTGCCAGGCTGTTCAGTAAATATATAATGTATTCTCTGCATGGTCATCATTAAATCAAGAAATGTGTGGGTTTCTTAATAGCGAAAATACAGTGGGATGTTAAGGAAAAACTTCTTACCTGAATGACAGAATGAAGGAAAACTGCTAAAAGGGGAACAAAAATCTACCTGTCATTAGGCATCAATCATTAAACACATGTTTACTGAAGCCTTTATAATTTTAGGCTGTCCCTTTTGAAGAGGAGATATAAGGAAAGGTTGCCTAACCATTTTCCCAACCTCCCATTTTCCCTTCAAAATTATTGTTCCCTTCTGTGGTTCTCTAGATGTGCATTTATGCAATAAACTGTTGGGAATTCATGTACTTTGCTTCCCAAAGTGCTAGAGCAGATGAGGACTTCAGCTTTGATCAACTGGAAAGGTTATAAATAAGGGGCATGAAACCCAGTGGCTTGCATGTTCAAGCCAACGTTGTATTGTAATTTGCTTTAGATTTTGCCAGTTTGGACTTCACCACCTCATCTGATTTGCTTGAGCTGCAAGGATAAAAAGGTAGCCCTAGTTCTTCAATGACCTTTCTTTTGTGCCCTCTGATAATGCTAGTACTTGAATGGTTTCCAGGCAATTAAAAAACAAACAAGCTTGGGACATCTTTTTAATGGAACATATGGTCAGAAAGAGAGCAACTCTTTCTTGATTTGTGATTTGAGAGTGCAATATTGCTTTCATACTAGGCCTTTTATTCTGAAATTGCTACTATACTGCTCAATTTTAATGTGTGTCCAAGCAAAATTGTCTTGATTCCATTGATTTCAGTGGGATTTTTATTCCCTGTTTGTTTTTTCAGCCTGATTTGTGGCACTCTTAATGTACTAAAAAAATTAGCGTCAGTAGCTTATCTTGTATCAATAGACAAAATACTGTTTCAGTTTTTAAGGGGTCATTTGTATAGCCTGTTAATTGCCCTTGTGCTGGAAGGCACTGTATAGATGATGCTGATGAAAACTTAACATTATGTCACAGCTACCTTCTTGTTGTTCTCTATGTTTCCTCTTCAGAATGACTTGGGGGGGTGCAATGGAACCTCTTCTATGGTGGTCATCAAAGATTACTATGCATTAAAGGAGAATGAAATCTCTGTCAACCAGGGTGAAGTGGTCCAAGTACTTGCCATTAACCAGCAGAACATGTTCCTTGTGTACCAGCCTGCCAATGACCACTCACCAGCAGCGGAAGGATGGATCCCAGGGAATATCTTGGCTCCCCTCACTAAATCAACTACAGATAATAGCGACGGAAGCATAAAGTAAGTGCTGTGTTGGATTCCCAGGGAGCAGTATGTGGATTTTTGAGGAAAAATTAAACACAAATGGTAGGATTTTCCTACTTTTTTCTTAGATCTTCAGTGCCATTGGAACAAACTATGCTTGATAACACAGCATGGGGTATCCATCTTGGGATAGTTGGTTTTTTGTTGGTTTTTTGTGTCTCCCCCCCATAATTTATAAATAATTAAAATCCATAAACAGTTTAAAAAGCATGGTTTATGTTTTCCATCTTTTCCTAATTATGGACCTAATTGGACTGGATTTCTATTTATCTTGTGTTTAAATAACATGTGTGTGTATGTGTGTAGACACATACATACATATGTGAATATGAGAGGGTGTGTGTGTATATATGTGTGTGAGAGAGAGAAAAAACAAAAAGCAAAACATTGCCCTTCTGTACTGGATTGAGTCCTGCTTCTCAAGGAAGATATTTTATGTTGTCTATGGCAATTTCTTGTACAGTTTGTAACATTTTCATTTTGGTTTTTTTCTGTTCACATATTTTGTATAAATTTTTTTTTGTTTGATAAATCCCTTTTGCAGTACCTTCCTGTAAAAAGTATTTTGCACTATTTAAAAAAACCCATATTTGAAGTCAGATTGTGCAATATTATGGATAGTCGCAATGTTCATCATTGTACCTGTAATGTAACTAATAATTTTAAATGTACTATTTTAAATATGTAAAATAAATTTTCACTATGAGCATGTTTTGAAAAGATTATAAAAGGACCAATTTCTGTCCCTCTTTAGTTCTTTTTTTCTTTCTATGTTTTGTTCCTAATTTAATGAAATGTGAAATACTCTTTCCAATTTTTTTGTCATTTTGTTAATTTGAAATGACTAAATGCAAGAAAATGTTTTTTGATATTAAATACAAAAGGTACAATCCTTTTCCATAAAAACTGTTGTTGTTTTTTACATCTGCAGTTGTCAAACCAGTATTAGTTTTCTCACACAAATTCACCAGAGCTTGACGTTCCCAGCAGTAAATGTTTCAATATTGTGGTTTAAATGCTGAAATACTATACTATGTTCCTTGCAACAAATCAGCTAGGCCTGAAGCTGTGATCCTAAGAACTGTACCATAATTACAGCAGGGAAGAGGCTATATGAGTTGCATATATGGCCTTAGCCATTGTTTACTCTTGCTTTTTCATAGATACTAACCAAGTTCAACCCCGAACAGGATTTCTCTTTTAACCAAGGACAAAATTTGATAAGAAGGAAGAATCAGTGATACCCATGATTAAAGACCAGGAAGAAAAAGAGAATGTGCCTTTGAAGCAGGGCCTAATCATTTCTGCATTAATGATTAATAATGTGTTAATAAGAGTGGTCTGACAGTTGCAGAATTATATGATCTAGTCAGTTGCACACCCCATGAGGGTCAGTAGAAACTCTCAATGTGTGAAATATTTTGGCCCTCCATTCATAGGATAATACTGAGGAATCACTGAAATGATCATTGGGGAACTTCTGAGGCTGAGTCTTGCCAGTTTGGTGTAATTGGGCTGAGCTGGCAGCTGCTTACACTTCAGTAACAGCCCAATAAACAGTTACTGAGAAAGGTAAGATGGGGCACTAATTGCTCCCGTAGTTGGTCTGTTTAGGACTGCTTTGTATATGATGGCAGTTGGCTTAAAAATCTTACTCCTGCACAGCAGTGGCTTCATCTAAGCCCCCTAATGTCCTGGTGCAGAGAATTGTGACATTTACAGCAGCAACATTTCAGGAATAAAGCTGCTACATGGTAATGCCATTGACAAGGCAAACACTGAACCTGTGAAAATAAACCATGACTTACCAGGGAGGAAAAATGAGTGCCAAAGATGGTGAAAGAAGAGATAGATGTGAAATGCATTGAAACATGTACAAAGGATCAAATAGAGAGACAAGGCACACACATAGGAATACATGAGAAATAGAAGTAGAAATGGGGGGCAAGGAGATTTGACAGTGTAAAAATTAAGGCTGTTGATGTGTTTCCTGTGTTACCAAACTGAACTAAAACATTGCTCAAATGTCTTGGATTATGATGATTTTTTCAGTTGAACTTTTTAAAAAGCCCATGAAATTATTTGCAGATTTGCACGTATCTATTACCTACAGCTGTTAGATGAAGATTTCACATTATTGAAGAATGGTGTTATAGTGTTATAATTTGTGCACCCTATTTCAGAGATGGGGCCTGATCTGAATATATACAAAAAAGTGAAATTTTTTCCCTCCTCACTGCCATTACAAATTTGGAGAGAAAGAGAGTCCATTAAGCAAGGACTCTAGATCCATCTTATTTCACCTGTCTTTCTTTAATGATATTTTCATTCTTCCCACTGGATTTTCATACTTAGGTGGATATTGAACTCAGCTGTAATCTTAAAATATTTTTATGAGATCTGTTATCAAAAGCCTTCCTTAAATACTTCTAGTACACACATTCACTGCATGTGAAAGGAACAGGATCACAGCTGTAGTTGTATATATTTACAGAGCTGCTGCTGGAAAAGCAGGGGAAGAGTGAGATTATACAACTCCACTCATTCAGTGAATGTACATATTGAAAATGCAAAGAAGTCTAAAGTAGGTAAACATCACAAGGTATAAATCCATCTCTATATATTGCTTGTTCAATAAGAATCTAAAAAAGTCCCTTTAGAGACATTTCTTGAAGTACCAACACAACCCATAAGTAGCTGCTGGCTAAAATTTAAGCAAACTTAGTCTTGAGATGGTGTAGCTTCACGTACCATACTGGAGCAAATATTTTCTTAATATTGCATTGCACTTAGTCCAATGAAAGATATAATGAAAGCAGTCTTACTGAGGTCCATGCCTAAAAACTCTAGGGTTATATGGAGCCCTCTGAAACCATGACTGCAGGTCCCAGAGCTGCTCTAAAAACTATTACTGAATTAAGGTTTTTAATCTGGCAATTATCACATAAATGGTAGAGAGTAAGGAAGATGACCTTGACCAAAATAGCCCAGATCCGTTACCAAAGTGACAAGGGGAAAAACATGGCTTAAGTCCAAATCAAGAAGAAGGTATGCACAAGTGACTCAGGCAGACACCTCCCTAATGCACATGAATTAAAAGGGGGCGAGGAGTAAAGCACAGTCAGACTTGCAAGATTCTGTCACTATAGCCAATGCTAATAAAAGTAGTTTTGGTCTTCGTGTGCAGTTGATTTCTTGGTTTGGTCCACATAGTGGGGCTGACAATGGGGGACTATAATTAATTAATTGCACTTAATTGATTTAAGATTAGATGTAATTCTTGCCCTGACTCTGTCTACTTCTAGAAGAACAGGACCCAGCACACCATTCAAAAGCTTAGTGCAGCCTTTGGCCTAAACGTAGTTGTGCAGTGTTGCACAATTGGAACAAATTGCAACAAACCCTCATTTGATCATTCATTTTCACTAGAGGCACTGTTGAGTCTCTCCAGAAGGTGGTTTGTTCGTTTGTTTTTTAAAATTCATGTACATTTGTATACTGTTCTAATCACAGATCCTATGTACATATGCATAAACTTTTATTGCCTATTTTGCATGCTTACTGCTTATAATAGTATTATGCTACTTTTGTGACACCTTTAATATAGTACATAGAAACACCTTTTCTTTGTATATTATGTCAAGACACTATAGCTGGGATCATTCCGGTCCTGGATGAAGAAGGCAAAATTGCAGGCTACTAACTCTTTCATTTCAGTCTTTCATTTCATTTCAGTGCTCTTCCCAAGCCTACAGATATATTTGGAACCTGGAGAATAATAAAATTTCTGCTAAAAAGTAAAATCACGTGCATAACAAAGATCCTAATCATCCTGTTTATAAATAAATGTTTTCACGTACTTGTTTTGATTAACTAAATTCAGCATTTTCTACTTTACTTTTCATGTTGCTTTCTTTCTTCTACTTCCCCATCCCAAAGAAATTTTTTTTACTAGCAATAGTAAAACTATTTGACTGTTACTATGGCATGATATGAATACAGTCAATTCTCTATTTAGAGGGTTTTTTCGTTTGGCAAAACACCGTTGTAGCTGGGCTGATAAAATGCAGGCAGAGTAAAACACCAGGAAGTTTAAGTATAATGAAGCTTGTTCCAGGAAATAGTTAATTCTGTTACTCTAATCAAATGGCAGTTTAACTTATGTGTTGGAATGTGGCATTGAACTTTGGAATATGGAACTGTATATCCATATTGGTGGCACATAGACTTATCTTTCTATTTCAATATTTCTTGCTGCTTGAAGTATTTGTATCTACTACTAAATCTTTGCATGTTGCAAATCTTACCTATACAATCTGCTTTTCATACGCAAATCTTGGGTTCTTGTTTTTCCAAATGACAGGAATAACTGTTTTAGAATAGTTTGAATTTCAGATTTGAATGTGTATACTCAAGTAGAGATACTGCACGTGGCTTCCATCTCTTTGGGAAGAGCTGCAGAGATCAAGAACATGTATGCTCCTTGCCTTTCCACATCCCTTCCTCTTCCTACTAAGACCTGCTATTTGATTAGTGCATTTTTTGGTATAACAGGAAGTCATGTTCATGGCATACCCTGCGCATGAGAAAGCGGGCGGAAAAGGAGAGCAGTGGCAAAACTGAAGCCAATGGCCTACGTAAACCCAAGGATATTCTGAGCAACAAAGTCTCTGTTAAAGTGAGTAAGGCCATCTGAAGCTGTTCGCTGCCTACTGCTTCTCATCCTCACTCCCCCTGCAACATCCTCTCTGTGGACAGGGGGTGACATCTGGCTTTTGTTTTTGTTTTTCCTTTTTTTGCTTTTATTTTTAATTTCTTTTACTTTTTGGTAGTAGTAGCCTTTCTGGCCGGCGTTTGCATGCAGGATACAGCACAGCTTTTCCTCCTCACCTCTGGCATCCAGAACTGTAAGTAGAGCGAGTGTATGTGTGTGCCTGTATGCGTGCATGCATGTATATATGCCCAGGGGCGGGAAGTACTTCACTTTCAGTAGTTGATTGTAGCATCTGGTAAAAGCTCACAAGAATTGGGCAAAACTTTCCCTGGAATGGAACCAAAGCATGCAGCCTAAACCAGACCAATTGTAAATATGTTCTCATCATTTTCTGATAAGAGAAAACTTGGGGAACGGTAAGCCATGACAATGTAGCACAGGCAAGCGATTTGGTGGGGCTCCTTTGTCTAAGATCTTCAGATTGCACTATAGGGTCCCAGGCCTTACAGAGCTTCCCATCTTAGGGAAGCCACTATAACATTCATACCACAGCCTTTGCTTTCTTGTCTCTTCCCTAAGAATTGGAGGTGAGAAAGAAAATGTGCATCTTACTCCTATTTTTCCCTTTTTTGGCTCTGAGCTGGATATACAGTGTTCTGGTTCTTTCTCCTGACTTTTGAATGTCACTCCTGGAATTATATCTCCTCTGTAGGAACAGTCCAAATAGCTTCCAGCGTACAGCCCCCTTAAAAGAGGTAGGAGCAGGGACATCTAACTTTTTGTTTGTCCTGCTGCTGTCCCCAACTCATTTAGTTAGAAGCAATTGATGGCAACTAACAGATACAGAAGACATCACTGCTATGACTGATGTCTATTTCCATTAAACTTATGTTTGTTTATGGTAAAGCCAAAACTTGGCGATTCTTCATTAAACAAGTTTGTATCTATAGTTTGATATACCTTTGAAAGAGAACTAGTGTGGCACAGTGATTAAGTGTGGACTAGAAGCAGGAAAACCCACGTTCTAGTGCTCCCTTAGCATGGAAGCCAGTTAGATGATTTGGGGCCAGTGGCACACACTCAGCCCTAGACTGGGAAGTACAAAACAATCCATCTATCAATCTGCACTGGACCAATGTGATGGTTTACAGCCCATAACAGTCAGTGAAGAGGCCTTCATCCTGCGGTGGATTGATTTGGAATCAACAACAACAACCACAGTTATAATCACCACCACCCTTTGCAAACTTTCATGAGGTCTGGATGTGGAAACTTGCAGCTTTTCCTTCTCCCTATCTCTGCAGAATTGATGTACATTGTTTTATGTAATTAGCATAAATCTGTCTTGTGCAATTGTAAAATTTAAAGAGCACATGAGTTACATTCAATAGCTACTTCAATCCAGGAAATACAACTATTCATGAATGAGGTCAAAGTTGGGATAAAACAAGAGTGATAAACCCTTAGTTAGCATGAAGGACATTACCACCACCACCACCCAAAAAAGGTTCTGTGGTCATCTTTAGATGCAATAAGGGAATCTGATTATAACTCTTAACTGTCCAGCAGAATTTTATAGGTTGTGTGATTGGCCCTAGTGATAAGTCCACACATTGTACAAAGCTTTAATACGATTTGTTTGATTTGGTTTAGCACGTTATATGAGTATTACAGCATATTCAACCATGCCTAGATTGACATATGTTAAGTCATAAAGTAGTTTGGCACAGATTTAATGTACTGTGTGAACACAGTCTGTAAATATTGTCAGCTCCATAGTTCCTACTGTGAGAGGTAGTCCATGCTATAGAAGAAGGAAAGATAAGGAATGCCCAGTTAAGGACCTACTATGATAGATCCGCAGATTTCAAGTGAACTGTAAAAATGCATATTAGAACTAAATTCAGTATAAAACTATAGTCAAATTACCTGCTACCTTTCTGGAAGTTTGTACAGATTCACATGGGGAGAGAGGTTGATCTACGATTCTTAAGAAACAGAGTAAAATTTGTCCATTGTGACTTTCACAAAAATTCAATTTTTCACACTTTCTCTTGCCGTAAATTATACTGAATAAAGAACCTAAAAGCACTGAAACCAGCTGTCATAGCCCAAAAGATCTTCTTGCATTAATTTCAACAGTTACTTAGATCAGGCAGTTAAGGCTCAATTCTTAATTGGTCATTTAAAAAAACTATAGGATTCACTAGGAATGAATGAGGCAATCAAACTATTATTTCAAGTTATCCATCCTTTGCCCATATTCTCAGGATCTTCTAGGTCAATGCAGATGCTATTTAGGCATCTATATATGTCTATTTCTTTTATAAACTTTCTCAAATTTTTAATGAATTGTTCTATTTGTTTTTGGTGCCAAGGTGGTTTTTTAAGACAGGAACTTACTATCTGGGACAGTGTGGTACAAATAGAACCTATCCGTATATTTTATTTTTCTCTCCTCCCCACCCACCCCCACCCCTTAGATCCTGTTCTAAAATTAAGCACATCTCAGTTTCTGTGCCACAGAAAGTTCTTATCCAAAATAATCAGTTCCATTTGAACAAATTGAATTTCAGGAATAAAATTCAGCTTTCCTGTTTTGTGGACAAAAATCAAATAGCAGGATGTTGTAAATTTAAACTTGTGTTCTTATAACAAAAGTGTTTTACTTTTTCTTTTAATTAATCTTTCCCAGGTTTGTGTTTGCATTGTTTCATGGAAGTAACAAAAGTTAGTAACCTCTGTTTATGTTTATTTCTATTTGTTGTAATTGCTATAAACTGGGATATAACTTTTGTATCTTTCATAGCTGGGGAGAAGATAGAATTCTTGCAGTTGCAACATTTCCCATTCTGGCAGAATTCTTCCATGTAACTATGAAAGATAGAGGAACTCTATTTTATGCAATCTGAACAGTATAGTATAACAACAAATAGACATTTATAGTTCCATAGAGATGGAAAATATTTATCAACAGGAAAATATTATGAATCGTTAGTGCTTTTCATCATTTCACTTTATTGCATACCATTAAAATCACACTTCTGATTTAAACCAAGATTATAATGTTGAAAAAAATTAATTTGATTTATCAAAATATGATATTAAAATCCAGCTAAGAGTTCTAGTAAATTTAAACTTATTCATTCTTTGCAGAAATACTCTTCTTTGATTGATAGCACTGTCTTTCATGTTAGTTTTTTTTCCCTTAAAATTCTAGTTTAAGATTAAATTTTTCAGCAGAAACATTAAGAGATCTTTAATTTCAGCTTCTTATTTGTATTCTCCTCTTCTTAACAATATTGCTCCAAGGACACAAAATTGCATGCACTTATATTTAGGTACTGTAGATCTAAGTACTAAATACTGTGTCAGCAAACTAAAACAGCATATAAGCTTTTGGAAGGTTTTTCCTAACCCTAAATATAAAGTTATCCTTTCTACGTAGAGGATGTTTTATTTAATCCCATGTCTGGAGGTTGAGTCATATTTAATCCCATTTATTTCAAAATACAGTACGTATTATTCTGATCATTCGGCTTTTAAGATCCCACATAGCATATAATACTAAGCAATTATGTTAAATATTAAATTAATATTAAAGTAAAAAGTAATAAAGTATTATCCACTTGTAGTATCCAGATTTTTAAAAAATAATTTCGGCAAGTTTGGTTTGCAAGTCAAACCCATATTATTCTGGCATGAATTGAGAACAAGAGATCTACCAAGATTGAAAGTTCAGAGAGGTAAATGTGTTGTTTTATTGTAGATAAAGCAGTCTTGTAATTGGTCAGTATTAATAAAGTAATTTTGAATGGACTGGATTGAGAATTTTCTTTCATTGGCAGAAATTTCCTCAAATTGCTCTTGCTGATAAAATGTGGGAAAAGGGAGGTTGGGATTTGGTTGGTTGGTTGGTTTGCAAATTCCTACCACTTCTAGAGCCTGCTAGATCAGAGGCCCTCTAAGCCTTTGAAACAGACTTTTGTGGATCATCTATCCATCTATCTGTCTGTCTGTCTGTCTGTCTGTCTGTCTGTCTGTCTGTCTATCTATCTATCTATCTATCTATCTATCTATCTATCTATCTATCTATCTATCTAATCAGTATGCTGCCCAACTCTCAACAACTTTAGGCAGCTTACAATCAACAAAGAAATTACAATAAAATAAATAAAAGATGGCAAGTGCAACAGACCAGATGGAATGAAGTGAGAGGTCTCTTCCTCACCAAAGGTCTGGGTGAAGAGCCAGGTTGTCACGGCTTTTCTAAACAACAGCAGAAGAGGGCCATTTGGATCTTGGGGGGAACCTCATTCCAGAGGGCAGGCACTGCTACATAGAAGGCATGCTTTCGGGTGACCCGGCATTGTGTAATCAAAGGTACCTGGAAAAATTTCAGTGGAGCAGAGAATTAGTAAAAATTGCTTCCTTGACCATTCTGTCACTGGAAAAGGTCTTCTGGAGCTTTGCTGGATGAAATCCATCACCTTTACTTTATTGCACTTTGTTTCTCACCGACTTCTATTTATGTCCCTACCTCCACTATATTATGCATAATTGCAGTTCAAGATACTACTTCCATCTGATGAAATGGATTCTAGTCCATTAAATTACATATCATAAGATGCCACAAAACTCTTTGTTACTATTTCTTAAAGTTAATTTTGATAAGTGATTTTTGCTAAAAAATAATAATAATAATAAGTGAGGTATGCGCAACACAGGAAACACTTTTTTGTTTCAAGCTTAGAACAACACAGCCTTTTCTGAAATGTTTTATTTTACTGTTCTGAGCTGTGTTCTAACCAAACCAAACAAAAATGGCGTAACCATTCTAGGCTATGATGGAGCAAAACTGAATGTTCTCCTGTGTTCTATTCATAGGAAACAAGGGGGGAAAAGTATTTTGCTCCCTTGTTTTTTTTTTACTTCAAGGCCTATAAATTATTTGCACACAGTTGCTACCATGCTACCCAGTCTGCAGGAAAATTGTTCAAGAGCTTAATTTTTAAGAGAATATAACCATTCTTTTCATATAGAGATGGTGTAATGTTTTCAAAAATCGTTTACAAATCACAGCTTAGCCAATCTTTCTTCAGCTGCTGACAGCAGTCAGTGTGGACTGCTCTCCCACCTACTTAATAAAGTCAAGTAAACTAGGCATACATTTTTCTAACACAAAATGCTCAGAACAGCTATTTTAATGCAAAAGATTTTAAACTTGGACTGCATACCCCTAAAATAAAGCTAAAAACCAATTTTATCCAGTTAACCAAGTACTACAAGAGTAAATCCTCTTTTGAGCAGGTAATACGTTAGATCATGCCTCCATTCCTTTACATACACAAGTCTGATAAGCATTTACAGTGATTGAAGAGACCTCATTTTATGAATGAAGTCTCCTATCAGTGTCTTTGGGGGGAGGGGACCCAAATTTAAGATCCAGGTGTGCCTGTCTTGGTGTTGTGTTGTGTGTGTTCTGCCAAAGGATGATCAAGTCTGTCAACACTGATAGAACACGGGTAAGATAAGTTTGGTGGCCATTCCCCTCCTCAAACAATCTACTCCATTGAGTGAATGGAGTAAGGATGTCCTTAAATGCCATAGCAAGTGTGCTACCTTCTGCTGTGCGCTTACATTTCTCTAAGTGGAGGTCGAGAAATACAAAATCAGAAAATGACATTCAGATTTTTAAAGCTGGCTTCACTTCAGAATTCTGGGCTATTCAAGCTACTTACAGATTTAGGATGTTATATTTTTTAATGATTGGTATTTAATACACAAAGGTGTCAAATAGCTGAAATTCTAAAAAAGGGCACCCCAGAAGATTGAGTGAAGCGCTAGGCCCTTGACTTCTCCAGAATTCCTATTTAAAGTAAGTGCCAGAATTGGATGCTAAATCTATTTAGATATAATTTTGCTGGCCAGGCTGCAAGGGCCCTCCCAAATTGGGAAGCTGGTATAGCAGAGGTAGTGTTTCATACTGCTGCTTCCATTAACACATTCTTCCTAAATTACTTAAAGACCGCTTTATTTTATTTTGCCCAATGTATATTGCTTGCATTCTAGTGACTTTCTGTTTGGAAAGTATTTAAGTTATTGGTGGCCATTTCTATGTTGCTCTTAATTGCTCTGCTATTCTTCTGCCTTTAATCTCTCTGCTGATCAAAACTCTGTTCTTTTTTCTCCATGCTGCTCAAAAGGAGACAAACAGTTCAGAAGAGTCAGAATGTGATGACCTTGACCCCAACACTAGCATGGAGGTAGACCATGATCCTTTCTATCCTCCCTCTCCTGTACCCAATACTACCTTCCCCAGAGAATTGTATGCCTGTTTTTAAATAGTATCTATAAAATTCAGTGTCTGTACTGTAAACTAAGGGGTGACTGTACTATAGATGCAGAGTGGGGTGCCTGTCCCAGACAGAAGATCCTAGGCAGCAAATTATCACTGATCTAATTTAACAACATCCGTCTACATCAATGGGATAGTTACATATAAGATACCAAATTGTCTTGGGCTAGTTCTGAACATGTCACAGATTCTATAAAAGAATCTGGAACCTCCACTGTAGACTAAGACACCAATATATACAATTAATATCTCAATTGTTAAGAATATAGCAGCTTTGCTCTATCTTGGTTTCACTGATCCAACTTTGAATTGGACAGTCTTATATGCTAATATGCTAAATAATATGTAATGGGGAACATCTGTTACTTAGAATTTTGATTCTTCTGCGGTTGATAGGGAGCCATGATTCTTCAGTATTAAAAACAAAAAAGAGGGCAAAAGCAATCAGAAGCATTTGCAGTACTAGTGAAATGCAGTTGCTAACAGTAAATGAGTACTAAGCATAAACACTCTAAAAGCCAGTCCTATAGGAAGACATACATACAGTAGTTAAAGCTTTCTTAGGAATCCCTGAGTTCTGGTACTAGATACTGAATGTTTAGTTATTTAACCACTTTTAGAAGACTATGTGCTTCATGTATTAATATCCCACCTTTCCATTGAAAATAGTTGGATAAAAAGTATGCAAAGAAAATTAAAATATGAAAGCACATAGATGAAAACACAAAAATGAGAGGAATGGAAAGGACCTTCCAGATGACAACCCATCACTGAGCAAATCTGTTTTAAAAATCAAGCATCTGTCTGAGCTTAGAGATGAAGAGCTACAAGCTCTTGTTACTGGAAAAAAATATAAAAATGTTTCTAATGTTCTCAAAACCTTTGGAAAAAAAATCATTAATATTACATCTTCATAGTTAGCATGTTTGATACAACCATAGAGCACTTACTCTACATAGATCTCACTCATATTTAATGGGGTTCTGCAAATCTTTCCAAAGAGGCACTTCGCAACGCTCAGGAGCATATACAAAGCGCCTCTATTCATATCTATAAAACCCAGAGAAAGATGCAGCTGCTTTACGGATCTGAAAAGTGCTTTCCACACATTCTTGTGCATTGTAAAGCACTTCTTTCAAACAATGTGCATAATTCTAATATTTAATGTATTATTAGGACTAGAATCTCTATTCTTTTACAAATACATAAATAAAGCTAGATGTATGGACTTCAGGTGATTCATAACTGTGCAGTTAAGTCCTATCTCCCCTCTTCCTTATTGTGTTTGCTTCTGGCTAAGCAATGGTAATGCTGATATCAGAGTACTTGCTGTGCCTTGTAATTGTAGTTTATTTTCAAAGCCTTTTAATAGAATATCCATTGCTACTGCCTTGCTGATTTATTTATATGAGTGTGAGGCCAATGGACAAAAGGGAAAAAAGGAGCTTGGAAGAAAACAAGATGCAGCAGTAACGTTTGGATGAAACAAGGGAGAGGACTTAAAATGCTGCAGTTCAAATATTCCAGCAGTAGTACGTCCTATGTAAGCACACACAGAAATTTCTCTATGTATTTCTTACATTCCCATGAAAAAAGAGCAAATCCCTCACTACCAATTTGTTTCTTGGCAAAGAGAACCCTTTTGGGGCACATTATGGATTTGTGCTATCTGCCTTGCCTCAAAATATTGTTGATTCCACTGCTACTTTGGTGTACACAAAGCTGCCCTAATTCTTCTGTGGAACTTGCTCCGTTATGTTCTTATATTTCAATTCATTAAGTTAGTGGTAGTGTTCCCCAGCTAAACGCTTATGTCTTCTAATGGAGGATACACAAAATGGAAAATAAGTTTTGCTTTAAACCTGGGATAGCCCCATCATGATCCAGAACTTCAGCCAACTTAAGCAATGATGTTTGCATGGTGATGACCTCAAGCACATGTTGGCACACCCCAACCCCATCCTCACCCCTAAGAATAAATGTTTGAGATCCATTCAGTTTGGAATTCTAGATAAATACGTGTTTTGCAAGGTCATTTCCTAACTTGGATCAGAGTCCCAGGTATTTTTCCTATCAAGAGTGACTTTTTCAACCACTGTTTGCTTCTGAAACTGCCATTTGCAGTAAATGGACAAAGAACAGTTGGTCTGATCTTCAGGAGGAGTCCCGCAAGGAAGACTCAAACCAGAGTGTATTGTAGACTCTCACTGAGTCTATTGAAACAGTAGATTGATGTGATGGGACACGGCTGTTTCATCACCAGGGAAGGTGTGTGTCCCACTGTCAACAACTTCCCCAGGTTAAAGCAAATTATCTTAATTGAGTAAAAGGAACACAGTTCTTTTCCTGCTTCCTTGGTTTTCTTTTTCTACAACTTTGCAGAATGTTCCATTACTTCATTAGTATTCCACAATAGTTTGGCCTTTTTTGCTAACTTTCCCAGGTTTAGTCCTCATAGACCTTTGGGTTAAGCTGTTGGGTTTTGCAAAGAACATGATTTATGAAATGCATTCTGGTCCCTCAATGTGAGCTTCCATTTTGCACCATTAATAAATCAAAATTAAGGGCTGCTGCCTTAATTGCCTCATGTACTAAGGTTCCTAATGCTAATGCATTCCTTTGAAACCTGTAAGACTTGTTTCTAAGTCTGCAGACACGTGTTCCATACTGCTGTATGCATGCTTCAGCCTCAGTTGTGAGCCATATATTATGGCATAGTTTGTCAAAATCCATTAAAAGGAGTGATGGTATTAAAGAAAGATGCAAGGCAATAAATCTAAGGTGCATAGAATCTGAAGATATTCAAGATTTTGATGCATTTGGGCCTCTATGTTTCTTCAGAGGAATGTTATCAAGACTAGCCACAAGATACTCAGCATCATTATTGGATCAAAAATCATCCAAACTTTGCTGTAATCAGTCTGTTATGTGGGGAGAAAAATATATCAACAAATTTCCTGTACAGGTGGAAGATAAAGCCTTGAGAAATGGGGTGGGTAACCTTAGCCAGCAGGTCACATCCAGGCCTTGCTTGTGGCTCCCCAAGGAACTAGAGCAAGTTAGGCTAAAAACTTCAACAGTGTCATAATAAGCCAGGTTTACCATATTTTGGAATAGTTGAAACAATCCATATTACCAAAGAAAGAGGTGGTGATGGAGATATATCAGAGGTTAAAAATAACCTAAGTGTATTATATCTTTGGGGAAAGTGATGAAGACAGGGAAGATACCATGCTAGTTAGGATAGCCATGCAACTTTTCGTCACCCCAATACCGATATTTTTCATGGCAGAAATACCATAATTAAGTTCTTCCTCAGTCATCAAACTTTCCTTTGTAAACAAATATTTGGAATACGACCTCTTTAATCAGAGTAGGCAACTTTTTTGTTGCCAGAAGCAATACTTTATTGTAATTTTTTTAGCCATAGGGAGTTTGACAATGAGATCCCCAGAAGGAGCAGAGTTGAAATTTCCAGGGTTGTTTTTTTAAGTATGTGTCTGCCTATACACACATGTTCAGTAAAAGGACAAATAAACCTATTTTACTACAGGTAGTCCTCGCTTAACAACCACAATAGGGACTGGAAAATTAATTGTTAAGTGGGCAGTCATTAAGCGAGCCATCACATGACTGCACCTGATTTTATGACATTTTTTGTGGCTGTTGTTAAGCAAATCATTAAGTGAATCATGTGGTCATTAAGAGAATCACATGGTTCTCCCTTGATTTTGCTTGCCAGAAGGCAGCTGGGAAGGTTTTAAGTGTGACCACGTGACTGCAGGATGCTGCAACTATTGTAAGTGTGAGCTGGCCAAGCACCCAGATTACAATCACATGATCACACGGGCACTGCAATGGTCATAAGTGCGAGGACCAGTCATAAGTAGCTGTAGCACCATTGTAGCATCGAACAGTTGCTAAAGGAATGGTTGTTAAGCAAGGACTACCTGTATCTGCTTTTTTAAAACAGTTTCACAACTCTCAAAAGGTATGAGAACTCCAAATGACCCATAGCCATAGTTTGCCCACCCCTTCTTAATTGTTGTATTAATAATTACCTAACAATAACAGATAGTGTCGCCCATTAATCTTGGATTAACAAGGCAGAAAACGTCCAGCTGGATAAGCTTTAATTGAAATAGTGGCATCATCAAAACACATTTTTATTGGACTGCTGTAACGGTTTAACCATTAATCTACATATCTTGGCACATGTATGTCCTCTGCTGCTGAAAGTATAATTTCTATTTTCAGAAACCATTCAATTCTAGCCACGGATTTAAATTCATTTGCTAAAATATTACTAATGGTACAGTTCTATACAGATTTACTCCTAACTAGGCTGGATTGTTTTCAGTGAATCTTATGAGCTTTGATACTGAATTAAAAATACTTCATCAAATATCAAATTTAAAAAGCTAAAGTGAAATGCTGAATGTGTTAAGGCCTAAATGTCATCTACACCTGTGGCCAGGCCTCCTCCTCTCGTAGGTTTTTCTTTTTTTCAAGTAAGTATAATGTTCTTGATAAATGCAGATTCCTTTGGCAATTTTAAAAGATGCTATGTGTACTTAGGCTTTTTAGTCTTCACAAAGAGTTTAAATCTACTAAGTGGAGGAACATATACTGCAAGAGAACATTCATCCTTTAAAAAATATCATTTTCTTGAAGCCAACTTCAGATCAGTATGAAAACTTATTGAAAGGAAATTATTTAGGATTTTATGGATTTTGCCTAAAAGTTTTCAATACAAAATAATTGAAAGTACTACTCTAGCGGGTAAGATAGAATTTTTAGCAATACTTATCCCTGATAATAGTCAGTAGCTTGTCATGTTTCTGATAGTAAATGCACAGTACAAGTACAAAAATTGTCCTCAGAAAAGGCTTTTTGTTTCTTTGTATTGGTTGAATTACAAAATCACTTTGCAAAGCATCCTGTCTCTGATAGTGCTGTAGAATAACAATAAATGAATTGATTGCTATGAAGTAATCAGACCTAGAGAGATTCTGAAATAAAATCAGCTTATTCAAAAACACCATAGTTCAGATATACCAGAACCTGAGGTCTCAGAACCAAGGATGAGCAAGCTCTGCTTCTTATTATTTTATCAAAAACACTTGAGTTCAGGTAGAGCACTTAACTATATTGCTTAATCGGATAACCTAGCAAGACGATTTTTAGGTGCGTGAGGATTCCATCTAGTGCTAGATATGATGCGACAACAACTAAGGCTGTGCAGCAGCCCTTCAGAACTGATTCCAGAGAAGTTCTTTAGCACGATCTCAGCAAAAATCATGGCTGGCTGAAAGAATTAGAGATAAGTGCTACTGTTGTGCTCCTGCTTATTCTAAACCAACCGTTTGGAATAGAATCCAAAGTGCTGCAGAACTGTAATAACGACATGAACGGTTTGATTCCCAGCCAGTCACGAAAGAACAGCCTGCTGATCATAGGAAGTAGTGAAGGGGGGATAAGATCATAGATTATGGGCAGCGAAGCTGTGGCTCATGTACACACTACTACATCCTGAAGTGATTCATGCTTGCTAGCTCACGTCTGCTCTTTTTAAAACCTTTTCAAGCCAATTGAAGGACCCTGCAGTCTTGATATGGAGATCAGAAGGGGCTGTGTAGTAAACACAGTGTTCAGAATTAGGCCTCTCAAGATGTACCTTCACTTCCTCAGTATTTTTTAGAATTACTCATTATCTCACTGAGAGCATTTTCTTTTTTCAATAACCAATTAAACAAACCTTTTCTATTTCTTTTGTGTGTATATATATATTTTTTTTCAGATCATCAACCCAAACTTCATCCAGGAAGGTGAGTTAAAGACATAAGCACATAAAGTCTTTATTTTTCCATGCTTAGAAAATGAAAAGCAAGATAATACTATTTCCCCAGACATATCCTGGGTAATTTTGTCTCAGTAATGTGACAGGTAACACTCTCATGAATGATACTAAGTACATACTTATTACAGTCCCAAAGAATATATGAGACAGCCAGTTGACCACATTAATATGTGATATAATAGAGCAGGTGAGGTGTGGGATATCAAGTGTCCTGTACACACTAATCAGATTTGGATGCAATATTAGTTGGATGAATGTTAAGCTTGGAATTGCACATTCACCAAAGGATTTAGAATTAATTTTTGTTTTAATGTATTTGAGTTCATTTTGACTTTGGCTTATTCAAAATTAAATTGACTTTGCTTTCTCTATAATATAATTTAAGCTACCATATTAATTGCTAAAATCGGATAACCACAGGATGGCCGAAAAAAGATACAGAAAACCGTGGTTGTCCAGATTTTTTCAGCCCAGATATAGTAGTTCTAATTATAATTCATCTTATTTCATTTATTTTAGCTAAATCATTCCCAAATTATTGTAGAGTTCTTTTTGCTTTTATTTTGCATCACATTTATACAAGCTCACTATCTACCCTTGATATTGTTATTGATTTAGTTGATTTATATCCTGCCTTTTGATTAAAATTTGAATACCCAAGCAGCTTACATCTTTTAAAACAACCCAAATACCCTGAAATGGAAAAGATAAAAACCAATCAAATAAAGCACAAATAGTTGGGAAAATGTATCCCATACTTCTATTTCAACATTGCTGGAAGACATGAAGGCCAGGTTAGGGACAGATTGTAATGGAGAAAACCTATCTATGTGCTTGCCAAGAGTCACCATTGACTTGATGGCATATAATCACTTATATTTCAAAGATTCTACAATCACAGTTTTATGGGGAAATTTACCATAAGATCTTGTTTAAAATGTTCAGGATATTACTATGTAAGAATTCAATGTTGTATTATGAGGAAATGATACTTCATATTAAAGTTGATCCTTGGAGTCCTCACAAGAACATGGTAGTAATTCTTCTAAACTATGGCGGTCTTTGACTCCTCCTCTTTTTTCCCTCTCTGAAAACTTGCTTCAGAAATGGGAAAGAGGAGGAATACTTTTCCTGTCTTCACTTTCTGTGGAGCAGGAGTTTTCTTGGAGCAGAAAACATAGCTCATTGCTTGACAGCTGTTTTAGTCTTTCAAATAAAATCTTTGATGTCTCTTGTGAGTGTGATGTGTCTCTATGTATGGCATTTACTCCAGTTGCTCCTGAGTTTCTCGTGCCCTTAGTGGATATCACTTGCTTGCTTGGAGACACTGTAATGTTGCAATGCAAAGTCTGCGGGCGGCCCAAACCAACCATCACCTGGAAAGGACCGGATCAAAACATGCTTGACAATGACAGCAGCACAGCTGCGGTTACAGTGACCTCCTGGTATGTTCAGTCTTTACATTCAGGGTTTTGCTGAAACAATGAATTAATTAATGTGGCTATTGAATTAATATACCAAATCTGTATAACTGTAGTTGTGTAAAGAGAGTTAATTTCCTACACCAAAACCTGAAAACTCTTCTGATCGTCAGTTCTCCATAGCCTACATAAGTCAATCAGGATATAGAAATAAGGATTTCCAACCCCCTGCTCTAGGGATGGGCAACTGTTTTGTTAACAGAAGCTGTACTTTATATTGAGGAAGTGTAATGGTATGTGAGAAAGACTTTGAGAAACGGGGCAAAGAGATGCAGCCTAGGGAACAGTCAGATAAGAGAGGGCATAAGCTGCAGCTGCATAATGGGTGGAGAATGAGGCTCAGAAGGGACCCTCCCTAGCTTCTCAGGCTGTAAAAGAGATGGCAAGAGATCTGTGCTTTCAGACATGCAAGATTCTGTTAATGTATAATTACATTACAATGAAATTACAATAAAGTAGAGTTAGCACATCTGGTCATGTTTCCTGTCTGGTCTACCTGGGAAGGTTGATGGGAAGGATGACAGCTACAGTAAGCTGGCCATTGAGGCAAACTGGGGGAAAGGAGTTGAATCACACCTACACAGATAGGCCAGGATTTTCAAAGATTTGGGAAGGTGTTTTTTTTAAAAAAAAAAAAAAGTTGAAATGATAGTTTAATCTATAGCTTTCATGTGTTTCCTATCTCAAGATAACAGGAAACATTGAACAAATTGAAAGGATCTTTGGAGGCTACAAAAATGGGGTTCAAAAATGCTGGTTACCATTCCTGCCTTATTTTTTGTGTCAGTTTTTTGAAAAAATGAACAGTGTTTCAAGAGAAGTTACATCAGAGGACAAATAATCCCAGGCAGACATCCTAGGCATCTTCTATTTAAAATGTCATTGTAACTTTATATTCTGTTATATAGATTGGTGGCTCTCAGAATACCTTATCATTACAATAAATTGCATAAACCAGTTGAAAGAATTAGTATATTTTTGAAAAGTAGATTAAAATGTTCCAAATTTAAAAATTGAATTTAAAAAATGTATCTGAAGTCCTTTTTCATAAGCTCATCCAACAGCAAGCATGTTAAACCCCAGTGGAAAACAGTGACCAAAAGCATCTTCTTTCTTAAAATTCCCCCCCCCCCAAAATATGGTAGCTCCTAATAGATCCAGCAGAATGAATATGGGCATATTACCACGTTATACTGATTGGTGAGTTTATAAACTAGGCCAGTTGAAATCAGACAGTCAGGATAATCCATTTCAAGAAAAAGTTCCTAGAAATGGAAGCCCATATTTATTATCACCATGTATTTAATTAAGGTACAAACAGCATTTCTTTGTTAAGGGAGGTGTCAATCAACTTCTTGATCAAACCAGCCAGATTCATACAGTTCGCTAAAATTGGTCTGGCCTGTATCAAGAGGAACTGAAGAACACTTTTGCACTGCATTCAGAGAAGAGTCCAAGTCAGAATTAATGTGATTTGATCCATAAAGCTTCCTGAAAATATGATGCAGTGTACAATCAGTTCCCCAAAGTAATGTTCTTGATAGCAATCCTATTATGTTTTAATAAACATGGCTGGTAAGAATGTTCTCATGGCCTAACAAGGAAAATGCCTCCTGAGAACGCCTTAGCACCACTACTGGAAACATTTCCTGTAAGACATCACAACTGCCATTTGGCAGGTTTTTCTGATGCTTCATCAATCTCAAAAGTTTATGCTGATTCCAGGAAAGACAGACAAGTCTAGGCCAGTGCTTTGAAACTTGCTGACAACTGCATGTATTTAACTATCAACATTAGAACAAGGAGGAGGGCCCTAGCAATGGCACGGGATACGGTTACGTTACTCTGTTTCTGGTCCATAGGCACCTTCCATCTGTTCCTTTCATCACATCTCATTTCTACCTTAGTCTGCAAAGTTTAAAAATCTTTATCTTCTGTGCATGTTACTGTAAGTCATCCATTTTAGGCATTATTTGGGGTGACTGCTACATTTGCATAGGCGTTTTGGTAAACAGTAAAAGAATGCTAAACTTCAAAGGAATGTGAAAGTGTAAGTACAGCTGTACTGTGATCTCAGTGTTCAATTATCTTAATCATGTTGGTTCATGCCCAACACATTCTGGAAGCGAGTTCTTCAGCATCTCTAGATCAGGACTGGGGCTGATGGGTAGGATTCTGTGCTTTGTGGAGACCTTTTTGATAGGGCTCCCCTGGGAGGATTGGTACATTCATAACAGGGCAGGCATGACGGGGCTGGCTAGTCACAAAGGGTGTCTTGAACAAAGGGGAAGCTGTCATGCCCCAAAGATGCTTTCTACTACTTCCAGCTCACTTTTGTCTGGGTTGTTTTCTAGGCAGGTAACCACACTTCCAAACAAAGTTTTGGTCTTTACTTTCTAAGGAAGTCTATATGGGGCTAAGAAGCATTCTTGGAAATAAAGATGATATTCAGGGCTAGAGCTTTGCTTTACAGAATGTCAGCTTCCTGTTAAAAATACATATTTTTAGAAATCCTTTGGAGCAGAGAGACTAGTGACAAGAGCCTTAATCCATATAGGAGAGGCACCAGATTCCATACTCCTGCTCTGTACAGTATGAATAACCCATATGGTTATAGTGCAAAGCCATTCCATTTTTGTGAGCAGCACAATCGTTAATCAGAGCAGCATGAACTAATATCCATTAGTAAATTATTTCTTTCCTTGTGTGTGACTAACATCTATAGAATTGCCTGATGAAAAGAGCAGGTCCTGTCTATTTTTCCATTGGTTCTCACTTCCCAGCCCAATTGAAATACTGTAACTGTTAAGCCCTGGAAGAGAAGCCAGTGTAAACACTGACGGAGTTTCAGATTAAAATTTTGACTCCTGCTCCTCTCTAGTGAATCAGGTGACATTACCCTGAAGATCTGCAACGTGATGCCTCAGGACAGTGGCATTTACACTTGCGTGGCAACAAATGAACTTGGGACTGCATCCACATCAGCTACAGTCAAAGTACAAGGTAATGGTTTTTTTCTTTCATTTATATGCTAGGTACATGGTAAATGCATGTGGTATAAAGCCTTTGATAGGTTTGCTTGGTGAAATAATTATGGTGCTTTAGGGGGAACAGGCATTCCATAAACTTGCCCCTCTACAAAGGCCAAGTTCCCCTCTAGTGGTATTAGCAGCATTGACCATAGCATTTTGGTCCCATTTACTTGCGGGGGGGGGGTGGTCTCGGGAACTGCAGAACAAGGGGCCGGCG